TCCTGATGGGGTGTGATGAGAAGAGCACAGACGCCCTTCGGTGGCATTCTTGCCAAAGATCCTTGACCTTAACCTAACCACGAGGAGCTGCCAGAAAACAGCTCAACTGAAGGACATACTGGAAGGTAGTGGGCCCGTAACCTTTGGGGTGCAAGGTCACACACGCCAAGGAAAGGGGGGGCTGCCTCCCAGTGAGCAGGTCGGCCAGACCGCTCGGCCCGGGCGCCCGGTGCACGGGACGAGCCCCCTCGAGGCTGTGAAGGACATCATCACGGTCGGTGGGGAAACCTGGGTGCCGTCTGACAGTTCGACGGCAGCCACCTGGGGGTGTTAGTTCTGAGGTTCTGGCCCTCGTTGTCTGGTTTTACGGGGGGCGGCTCAGGTGGAAGGAAACACCCCCCAACACGCTCAGAAGCCATGGAGCTCATACAGTCAGACGGTCAAAGAAAGGGGGTCCGTGTCCCACTTTCCTGGGTGGGAACCCTCCGAGAAGTCGGAGGTTGTGCACACACCGTGAGATTGCCCCCGCCAGTGTGGCCCCGTGGGCGGGGTGTCATCCCGCGAGCCAAAGGGTCGCTGCTCTGATTCCCACCGTCAGGGCACACGCCTGGGTTGTGGGTTCGATCCCTAGTTGGGGGCGTGAGAGGCAATGGATCGACGTTTCTCCCCCACATCGATGCTTCGCTCCCTCTGCTTCTCCCTCCCTTCCCCTCTCTCAGAGAATAAATAAATACGATCTTTTTTTTTGTGAAAAGAGCAGTGAGATTAAGTTTTTTCTGCGCTTGAGGAAACCACGTTTTCAGCTGCCACTGGTCTTTCCTGTGTTGACTTCCAGGCACGTGTGAGGACAGGGTGAGTAAGGCTGGGCCTCTTTTTGGTGCCGGTGGAAAGATAAAAAAGGGTGTGTGTGTCGAGGACCCCAAAGGTCCCATCCCTCAGGGACACAGGGCTGGACCTGGGGCCGTCTGATTACCCAGGGGGATCCAAATCCCAAGGGCACCCTTGATCTTGGAAGGCAGGGAGGAGCCTGCGCACTGGGTGTGGTGGGTGGTGGAGAAGCTTCCTTTGGAAAGGACGCGTGAGCCCGGAGCCAGGACAGTGGTTAGAGACCCGCCCCCGCCCCCGCCCCCTTAGATCCCAGCAGCAGCCCTGCGGGCAGGGTGGGCACGCTCCTTTGTTCTTCGGGGACTGGGCCTTAGCACCAGCAGCCCAGGCGCTGCTCCGGATGCGAAGGTGCAGCCTCGAACTGGACGAGCAGAGCCCTTGCCTTCAGCGAGCTGATGGCCTGGGAGGCAGAGACAGCCAGCAGCAGCGACGAATAGAGAAAACCTCCAGGACGCTGGGCACGCGCGCGTGTTCTGGGGAGAGCACACCACCATGGCAGCGGTTAGGGGAGGGTGGGAGCTGGGTGCTGGACCTGGGCAACGGGGAGCGTATCTCTGAGAGGTGGGAGTTTGCACGTGGGCAGGTGCACACGTGTGGGGTCAATTCCAGTCACGCTGTATTTGAAATGCCTGTTCAATCCCCAAGTGCCGGTGGCAAAGCGGCGGGGGGTGGGGGTGTCCAGGCTGGAGGCAGGAACCTGGGTGCCATTAGCACCTGAACAATTGCAAATCTGTGTGCGTGAGGTGGCTTCGGCAGGCCTGAGGGCTGGCACCTTCTCACACTTGAGAAGACTGGGTGTAGACAGGCTACCTCATCTGCCCAAAACTACATGGCTGGTCAGTGGCGGAGCTGGGATTCGAACCCTGCGCCGAGCCTGTTTACAGCTGCCATGGAGTCTTGCGCTGCTGGGGCCAGGGGCAGGTCACCCAGCCTTGCGGAGGCTCGGTGTCCTCAACTACCAAAAGGAGGCTGCAGAGGCCTCGTGGTGCTCAGGCGGGCGACCGGAGAGCCAGCAGCCACCAGGACGGGCCACCAGAACGGTCCTGGGTGTGTTCCCTGCTGTTTTCCCACCGGCCTCCCAGCCTCCACACCTGCCCTCCGCAGAACAGCCCTGTCCTCCGGCAAGGGGTGGGGCGCAGGGCGAGACTGCTGTGCAGAGTCCAGGAGCCGACGGATTACTTTACAGGGAGAAGCCACCCCCCACCCTGCCCGGGATTCTGTGGTCAGCTCAACCTGTGGGCCCTCCCTGTGGGCCCTCCCTGTGGGCCCGGGATTCCAGCAAGCAAATCCCCGCCAGCCGGTCACTGGCTGAACCTGGCGTTTGCAGACAAGGAGCTGGATAGTGATGCACGGTTTGGTGAGACCAGCCTGGGTCTCTGGAGTGTCCCTGGGCCCTGCGGGGGACTGGACGGGGCTCCACGGCCTCAACCAGGGCCCTGGCAAGGGCGCCGCTTCCAGGTCAGCTCCGGGCTGGGCTGGCACTCCTGATGCTTCCGGGGCTGGCCCGGCCCTTCCGCTGACTAGGTCTTTCTTTAGAGTTGCTAATATCTTTCCGTCTGTCCACGGGCCCCTGCGGCTTAGCACTTCCACTTTGGGGCATCCAGAGGCTTCGTGGTGTAAATGCCAAGGGCTCCTGTCGTGTGGGGGCTGGGCAGGTGCCTGGCCACAGCACTTCCTGTCCCCCATCCCCCTTCCTCTGCCAGATGGCAGGAGGAGGCCTCCAGCTGGCCACACTCAGTGTGGAAAAGTCCAATTGGTAGCCTCCCCCCGCCCCGCCAGGGCCACTCCTGTCTGTGCCCTCTGACCAGCTCAGCCCTGGCCTCCCTGGGTGGGGACCCCCAAAGGCACCAAGTGCCTTCAGCATGGCTCTATCAAGTTCGAGCCCCCACTCACCTCTGCCTGCCCTGGGCCCCTCCGCTGAGGCTGGAAGGGCAGCCGGCCATGCAGGGGGCCTGGGGGCGGGACAGACCCACAGCCAGGGAGACTGGAAGGAAGCTCGGCCTGGGTTTGCTCACTGCTCCCCCGCCAGGCTGCGGGCCCGGCCTGCTCCCTTGCGAGTCACTGCCCGGAACACTCGGCCTGGCGCTGGGCAGCGACTGACTGGAGGTGCCAGCATCTTGGGAGTCTGGGGCTCTGCAGGGCTGGGGTGTGGGTGCCAGCCCCAGGGGCACATGGAGAGTGCCCTGTGCTGAGTAGATTCTGGAAGGCTTGGAGTGTGGAGGAGACGGGTGTTCCAGGCTGTGAAGAGCTGCCCAGGCACGGCAGGACGCAGGACCTGGGCACCAAGGCCCCGGAGGGTCCGCGCAGGGCTGCCCAGGCTGCCTATTGGAGGGAGGTGCGCAGGCCTCCCGTGGGCATCCCCTGGGGGCGGCAGAGGCGGTCTCTGGGAGATGCAGTTTGAGTATTTGGAGCCAGGCACTATGAAAACATTGGAAAGAAAATGTAGTGATATATCAGAAACCAATAAAACCAAAACAATCCTTTGTTAGGCGCCGTCTGCAAAGAGGAAAGTGACCGGGCGAATTCTGATGTCACAGGTGAACCCGACGCCCGGTGGAGTGAAAGAGGAGGAAGCACGGAGTGATGACCTAGGTGTGCGTTACCTGGGGGAGGTGGGGTTCTGTCCCCCCAACCCCCACCCCCCTGCCCAAGCCAGCCTCGGAGCAGACCGAGGGAGCCTGGAGCGGAGGCAGGTAAGGGCGCTGGGAGGCGCTCCGGCTCTGAAGATCAAGACCGGCTTCTGCATCTGTCAGACTCACACCTGCGGCGAATCCCTGCGCCTCAGTTTCCCATCTGGGGAAGGGCCACAAGCATCATGTCTGCCACGCAAGGTCACGGAGTAGGGGGACTGAGGCGAGCGCCCGTGTTGGTGGTGGCTGGGTCGCAGTTCCCGTGGTCGCCTACACTGCCCACTGACTAGCCCGCGGAGGGGCGCCTGCCCTGCGCCACCCCCTGGGGACGCAGGGGAGACCAAGGCAGGCCTGGGGCTCTTCTCGGAATCTGCCAGCCCGCCCGCCGGCCCGCCGCAGGGGCCCCCTTGGGCTTCCCTCGGGTCTGCAACATGCGGCCTCTTTCTCCTCCCGGGGCCTCTGCTCTCGCCGGTCCTGCACCTGGGAGCCACCGCCGCTCCCTAGCGTCCTCCAACCCGCCTCGGGGCTCTGCTTCCCGCGGGGACCCCTGCGGGTCCGGCAGCCTGCGGCCACCCCGACCTCGCGATGCCTGCGTGGGCCACCCCAGGGCTGGCTGAGGGCTCTGGCTCCGGTCCCGACGGGCTCCCTGAGAGCGAGCCAACCTCTCCGCGCCTCAGTTTCCCGGCGTGTCAACTAGGAACCACCACGCTTCCTTCCGCCTCCTGGGGATTGTTTCAAGGCGTAAACGGGATAAAGGCACCAAGGCCTGAGGCCCGTGTCCGTGTGTGTCACTCTCGTCGTTACTTTGCGGTCGTTGTCGCCAGACCACGGGACGCCGAGGGCAGGGCTTCGCACGATGGCCGCAGCGCAGCCCGGGGGGCGCGTAAGCCACTCGGCCTCTTCCCGACCCGCTTAGGCACGTCGAGGGGGCTGCGTGCGGGGCGCTGGCGCTGCCCAACCGGCAGGGAAGTGGTAACACCACCGTTTCAAGGGAGGATCGGCACACAGTAGGCGCCGAAGAAATGGCCGGTCGACGCTAGGAAGCCTACGGCCGGGTGAATGCACGCTCTCTCCCTCTCTCCCTCCCTCCCTCCCACGGCGCGACGTGGAATGCTGAGGCTGCCCACATGGTCTTTAAGGTGTGTCTGCTTCCAACGACACCCATTTCCACAACAAAGAAGCTCGCCTCCGTGGGGCCACCTCCCCTCGGTGCAACCGGGAAGCGCAGTTGCTGGGGAGCCTGCCGTCCCCCAGGCCTGCCCCGCGTCCCAGCTCGGCAGCCACCCCCGGTGGGTGCAGCCGCACGGAGGGTCTAGAGTGGTGGCCACGCACGGACGCCCCACGCCGAGGCGGCGCCCAAGGGGCGTGCGGCGACACCGCCTCCAGCCGCAATTTAAAGGGCAGCGAGGGGCGGAGGGATCCGTGCCGACTGCTCAGCGAGGATCCCTCCGCGGCGAGAGAAGTGCAGTCAAGACTCGGCTCGCTCCCTCAAAATTCGCTGTTTGTTCTTCCGCCGCAGGAGCACCCGGCGGCGGACTCATTTCTTTCTCGGGTTTCTCCGCCTCCCCCCCGCAGAGTCCCGTAAAAGCAACAGAGGTGACTAGGCCACGCGAGCCGGCGTGGTGTCCCTCCGCCCGGCCGAGGGCACTCCTTTTCGTGTCTTTCCACCGTTCCCGGGCGGCGTCCGGGTGGCTCACCGGGGGCGGCGACGCAATCGCGGCGCGGGCGGCCAGGCTCTGGGGCTATGAGGTGAGGGCGCCCCGGTACAGGAGACGGCAGCGCGGCGCCAGGACCCAGGACGCAAGCCTCGAAGCTGGCGGCTGCCTCTGGGACCCCGCGGCCGCGCGTGAGGCGAGGTGAGGCCCGGGGCGCGGGGGACGCGGGGGCGCGGGGGCGCGGCGCGATGGAGGCGGGGGGCTCCGGCCGCGGCTGGGACTCATTTCCCGACAGCGGATGGAGCGGGTGGTGCTGCGGCGTGTGCCGCCATCTTGGATTTTACTCTCCATTTTTCTCTGGAATTATTTTTTGGTGATTAATTTTTTCGTGGGACGGGAAGTGTCGTCCGGCAGCGCGGACCCCCCCAGCGCAGTGGCCGGGGGAGGGGCGTCGACGCGCCCCGAGGAGCGGGCAGTGCCCGGCGGTGAGCGGGGTGGTGGGCGCCGGTGCGGGGGGCGGCGGCGGCGGGCTGGGGGCGGGCGCGGGGGCACCGGGCCGGGCGGGGGGCGCGGCGGCGGCGGCGGCGGCGGCGGCGGCGGGGGGCGGCCGGGGCGCGGGGCCTGCAGTAGGCGCCGCCGCCGGAAGGGAGCGGTAGCGGCCACCGGGCGGCGCGGGGCCGGGCCGCGGCCGCACGAGGGGAGCAGCCCCGCCGCTCGCGATTGGGGGACTCTGTTTTCCCTCTTCTCCAATGGGCGGCCGTGAACGGTCTCGCCCAATCTGCTCCCTCGGCCGCGCTCGGCTCGGGCTTGTTTTTGTTTGGGCTCGAGCCTCCCCTCGGCCGTCCCCGCGGGCCGGCCCCCCACCCCTCTCCGCCCCTCGCTTGACAGCGGCCCCGGCTCCCCCTGCGCTCCAGGCGCCTGGGTCCCGAGGAGACGCCCGGCTCCGTCGCGGGGATCGTCCTCCTTGCGCGGATCCGAGGCGATGTGCGCCCGCGTCGCGCCCACCCGTGAGAGGGGGCGACGCGCTGCCGAAAGGACAGTGCGGCCCAACAACCTGTGGGAATGGCTCGCACCGGCCGGGCTCGCTCGCTCGCTCTCCTCGGGCGTTTGACCCGGCCCTGGAGCGCTCGCTTCCCCCCCACCGAGTGCGGGCCGCGGGGGAGGAAACGCGCCCTTGGAGTGAATGTTTGAGAACTCGGCCAATGAAACAACTCCCTGTGTGTATGTCCGGGGTGGACCTGGACGCGTGGGCCGGTGAGCGGGTTGGTCGTGGGCGTGCCTTCTCCCGGGCGTCCTTAGACCCGAACTGTCCCGGCGCAGGTGCAGGTGCGGGTGCAGGTGCGGGCGCGGCGGCCGTGTGGCCCGGCGTCCTGCTGTGCAGGGACCTCGGAGGGGACAGGCGCCCGCTCCGGGTTTCCCCCTCGGGGTTGAATGCTGAGCGCACGCCTGTGGCTTTGGGGGATGAGGGGTGGAAGCGGACACGTTTTGGGGGGGAGAGGAAGTCGGGCTTGCCTGCAGTGACCACGGGTAACTGGACACGCGGACGAGCGTTCGTAAAGAGTTACTTGTGTCTGCAGTCGGTACGAAGTTACTGTGCAGCCAGAGTTTAGCAACTTGAACTCCAGGTGTGGCCCCTCAGGGTCGGGGCTCCTTATCCAGGCTCCGGGAGACAAGTCCGGGACGGCTTCTAGTCCCCGCGGGTGTGGGACCTCAGGCCCATTTTTCAGTTTTTAAATATTCAGCTTTTAGAAGTCTCCAACCCTTGGACCTTCGGCTCTCCCTCTCCCAAGCGCCAGCCCCGCCGATGTTCCTTGCCTGGGGCCGCCGGGTCGCCTCCTGCGCACACCCGTGCCCGGCTGCCCCCTCCCGCGGCTCCTCCTCCGGGAAGGCCCGGCAGCGGCAGCGGCGGTGTCGCCCGCCAGGGGACCCTCCTGGCGCAAAGGTGCGGGCCAGCCGGCCCTCGCTGTCCCGAGCAGCGCTTACTTGCCTTATTTCGGCTGTTTACCTGCCCAGCCCCTCAGGTCTCTTGTGAGCTGCTTATCCTTTATCTCCTTTCAGGAGCAGGTACAGAAGAGGAAAAGTTAAATTTATTAATCTCTAAGTTATCAAGCTTAATAGTTTGCATTTAGTTTTTCAAGATGTCCATTCTGATGTTATTAGCGTTGTCATTAGCGAAACTTAGTTTGAGAGTGAAATGAGTGTTATGGACATTTACTCTTTATGGAGAGAGCATAGTAGGGCAGTTTTTGTTACCCATAAACTTGGAGGTTGAACTCTCTTCGATCTCAAATGGCTTCAGAGCCATTTCCAAGTGCTCTCATGCCTGTATTCCCGCCCGTGTCCTGGGGCACACTGAGCTGTGTCCGCCTTGAACTCTCTGCCCGGGACCCAGCGCCTGTGGGCAGTGCTGCGGGAGGTGGGCGGGTGGGGGAGCGCCTGCGAATGCGCCTGTGAAGGAAGTGGTGGCAGGCTGTGTGCACATCTCTGAGCGCAGTTTTGTGGGTGGAGGATGTTGGTTTGTGAGTGTTCCCCTGTCATTGAACTTGACTTTCCTGTACATGAGTGTCGGTTTGCTTCAGGACACGAGTACACGGCCCGCTTGTGTTGCAAAATCATTAGTTTGTGTAAGTAGCCTCCGAACAGCCCCCTGTCCCCAGGAATGCCTTGCCCTGCCCACGGCTTATGAGAGCAGATCCGCTCCGATAATCACGTAGACTCCATTATTTCCTACTTTCACTATTTTATGAGCTTCACTTTCCACTCCCAAATCCTCCTCCGTGGGTTTCACATGTGGACATACCATGTTTTGTTCAGCAGACACGTTCCCCAGTTTTAGTCACACATATCTTATTTTAAATGCATGACGGGATTCTACTGTTTCAAAGGTGTGCTATAGAGAGAATCCATCTGTACGGGAAGGAATCACCGCCTTACTCTTGTAATTCACGTTAATGTCGAACATGAGCTTTTGACCCGTGCTGCTCAGAGGTCGTGCGTTCCAGTAGGTGTGTTATCTTGAGGTAGTTGGTGACGGGACCAGAGACCACTTGCAGAAAAGGGGAAAAGGTCAGATTTCCGTAATTATTGATGCTCTAAATTACATTTTGCGTCCTAATTTTCCTTTCATCGTGCTGAAGGGCTCCCAGGACCATGGACCAGTTTGCTGCCCCACTGCCTCCGGCCCCTGTGTCTGCCCGCCGGATTCGGGGCTGGCTGGCGTCTGTGTGGGGGAAGCTTAAACACCACGTAGTCTTCCAGGGTTGAGTGTAATCATGACTGCCGTGTCTCCATATAATTCTGGGGCTGGTTGAAGGCGCTGGAGTAAGAGTCTCTACCTGTGTTCGTTTGCTCTGTCATTATTTACAGAAGACACTGATAGGGCCAAGCCTCAGTTTCTTTGTCTGTAAAATAATCAAGTATTAATCTCTGTAATCATTTCCAATCCTGTATTATAGTTTATCTTAAAAAAAGATTTATTTTCAGAGAGAGGGAAAAGGAGTGAGAAAGAATGGGAAACATAGGTCGATTGCCTCTTGCATTCACCCAACTGGGGACCTGGCCTGCAACCCAGGCATGTGCCCTGACAGGAGTCCACCCAGTGAGCCTTTGGTTCGCAGGCCAGTGCTCAGTCTACTGAGCCACAGGAGCCAGGGCTATAATTTATCTTTTACACTTAATCGCGGCTCTGTTTTCTTGCAGGGATGTCCAACCTGTGGCCGACGGGCCGCATGCGGCTTAGGATGGCTATGAATGTGGCCCATCACAAAATCATAAATTTACTTAAAACATTATGAGATTTTTTGTGATTACATGTCACAGTATATCTAATATGTGGCCCAAGACAACTGTTCTTCCAGTGTGGCCCAGAGATGCCCAAAGGTTGGATGCCCCGTAAGGGCTGTTTTAATCGTATTTTGACGTCTAATTGTGTACGCAGTTCATCTGTAAATTCCATGCAGTTTTTTTTTTATAATCAAATTGATGGTATAGGTTACAGGCAGTTGGGTTTTAGAACTGAGAAACTCGGGTATATCCCTGGTTCCAGAAGCTTGATTCTTCAGGTCTGTGTGGCTCCTGCTTGTTGGCTGCATCTCTGCAGGAGATACGGGGTCTTATTTTCTGTGTTATAGCAGTGCACTAAAGACAGGTGAGTAGACCTGGGAAGCATTTCTCGGTGATAAGCCTCTTTATTTCTGCCTGGTGCACATGTCCTCACATACTGGAGTAAATCTCCAGACTGCGGCTTAAACACTAGAGTTTTAGACCCAGCCTTACCATCTAATAGCAGTTTGACTTCAGGAAAGCATCTTCATTTCTGAGCTTTAGCCATCGTAATCCCTGACTCACCTACATCACAGCGCCACCACGCTGGCAAACCCTCCGTCCCGTGTGTGAGGGCGAAACAGACGCCTGTGTTCCAGTTGGGCCTCTGGTTGCAACAGTTGGTCACCGGGTCTCTAAGGCACTACGATTGCCTCTCAGGTCTTAGGCAAAAGACCCCTTCATGGCAGGGTCCTTCTGCTTCCTAGTCTGTGGACTGGTTCTTCTGAAAGCTGAGGCTCTCGGGCGCCCTCTACTGTCCCCGGACACAGCCGGTATTCCAGCACCACGAACAGTGCCCGGTGGCTCCTGGTAGGTTCTTGGGGAATGTTGGATTGAGTGGATTCTGATCTGCAGAGTGATTCATTTTGTCTGACTTGTATAACAGGATTGATTGAAGTGCCTGATAAAGTTTAATGATCCCTGAGGAGTATTTTCATCTTCAAGGAAATGCGTACGTGGCATGATGTGGAGGGATATATATTTTTAGCAAGAAGACCAACCTGCTCTTAGAAAGGTGGGGCTCCCTGACTGAGGAGAGAAGGGGGGCCTGATCCCTCAGCCAGTGAGCCAGTGGAGTCTGGGCTAGAGAGGCCAAATAGAAACCTTTTTCCTTTCCCCTGAGAAAGGAACAAAAACAGTCTTCATGCCCCAGCTGGTGTGGCTCAGTGGGTTGAGTGCCAGCCTGTGAACCAAAAGGTCCCCAGTTCAATTCCCAGTCAGGGCACAGGCCTGTGTTGTAGACCAGGTCCCCAGTAGGGGGCACTTGAGAGGCAACCACACATCGATGTTTCTCTCACTCTCTTTCTCCCTCCCTTCCCTTCTCTCTAAAAATAAATAATTAAAATATAAAAACAAACAAAACAAAACAAAAACCCAGC